TATAAATTAAATTATATGTTTTTATGCTGAAAATATAATTTTTTAATATTATAATTATACAGCATTAGTAATATTTTAAATGAAACATGAAGAAATCATTACTTTGATAATATACCAAATTAACGTTTTTTTGTGTCTTTTATTTAAAAGTAAATTGAAATTTTATTCTGTATTGTCATTTTAATAGCATTATAGAATAATTCTATACACGATATTCAATAATAACCCTTACTTCTACATAGTTATGAATGTACAATACTTAGTATTCTTTACGTATAGATTCAACCAATAATAATCTCATTGTGAATTTATCATTGTTCCTTTAATAAATCAAAAATAAAATTTGACAGTTACATAACTTTATTTTCATATAAAATTGCTGTTTCGAAAAAACTTCCATAACAGTAAAAAACGTTTACTTAGCACAAATTTACTAGAAATATAACGAAGCAAATTTACCTGTTATTGTATGAAAAATATTTTACGATTTTACCTAGAAACTTCTTTCAAATATTTATTTATTGTTTTCGTTTATCAATTTGTAGATAATAATTTATTTACTTTGATGTAATTTCTTCTTTGAATTTTAACTGCTAAATGCTTTAAAAAATGTTAATACATTGCATTTTACATCTAAAACATGATAAAGCAAAATCTGTATCCTTCAAAAAGTCGTAAATAATGTGAGATCACGTAATATTCATATGTGTAAAGTCATTCATTTCTTTTTAATAATAAATTAAGTTTGATTTTAACGTATTATTTACATTTTTAGATTGAAATGTTTATTTATTATTTTCAAAAAATGCTCAGAGTTAACCGAAATTTCTGAATAAAATACATTTTATTAAATTATTGCCTTTTTGAATTATTCAAATATATCGAAACAGACCTAATAAGTTGGATGAATATGCAAAACTACTACAAAATCACAAAATATTAACGACCTAACGTATGGATGAAGAAATTGCAACATTGAATACACGTATGTCTTCAGTAACTTCTTCAAGGGAGGCAAAGTAATATACGCCCATTATCATAATTATTGCTTAATTTAAATCTAGCTAATTGCGCTTATGTCAGGTAATTTACTGTACTACTGAATTAGGTAGAGAATAGAATTTTCCGACACTTTTTAGGGAATTAATTTTAAGGTTCCAACTTCCAGACTCACTCTATGTCGGTTAGAAAGCATTTTCCTCACTGGATTAGGCTTTAGCTGTCATTAAATTCTTGTAGTTATAATCTCGTATAATTAATTAAGAAAATAGTGTGTAAACTATCTTTTATATATAATAATTCTAAACTGTACGACTACAACTTCAGAAAAATAAATTTTAACATTAATAATGCTATTAATAACAATTACGATAGCGTAAAAACTTGAAATCATTCACGTTACTCTATTAAACGATCACGTAATGTCAATGAAAATCCTTAAATTCTAGGTTACAAAACTTGTAACCATTACAAACTGACCTACTGTTTTTGGATGTCACGACAGAAAGTTAAAAGAATCAACACGATTGCAAAAGCGAGTCTCACTGACCTGGATGTGCACTAACTTCCAACTTTCATTATCAACTGACAAGTGAGTCAACATTAATGGACGTGTTTGAAATATTAAATTCATGCTAGAGAGAGAGAGAAACTAAGATTTTAAACTTTTTTTCTTATTTCTCGAAGCAGATTTGTTCTAATATCAATTATTTGCAATCACTAAAAATATCATGGAGTTATTATTTTTTTAATATTAAATAATTAAACTAATTTCGTCTGATTCTATTTTGTAATTAGGTCTCAAAAGCGTGGGCTATAAAATTACTATATTTTGAAATTTTATATTAAAAACAACTGCATATCAAATTAAAATTACCGTTTGTTAAATTTTAATATAAAAACATATTTTTATATTATCTAAAATGTTAATATAAAATTTCTCGGAAATAATATTTAATTAAATTATTAATATTTTACAAAATTTTATTTTAAATTCGTAAATATTTTTTTACATTAACTTAAAGATTTAATATCGATTTACATAAATTATAGGTGGTTAATTAAGTTTATATAAAAGTTATTTTATATATTTTATTGTAATAATTGTAAAATATAAAATAATTAAAAGAAAATTTTAAATTTTGGTATAACTTTTATATAGTTATGTAATACTAATTCAAATATATATAACTCAGAAATAATATAGGTTACAGTATGGTCTTTATTATAAGCGGGAGTTGCGTGTTAGTAAATACAGCTCTAAACGAAATTCAGCGTAAATCTGTACTCCATCTCGAGTGTGACTGCTTAAACACTTATGCAACCATTTACAATTAACATAGAAACGTCAAAAACTGGATAAAACGATTAACTGTAATATATAATATTTCAATCCTATGTTTTTGAACGTAGTGAGAAAAATTTTATTATACAATATCGAGTACACTCTTTGAGAAAAATATATGAAAATCAGAGTATTCAGTACAGTGAGTATTGCTCAATTTGCTGATTTAAGAGTTGGATTCATTGTCAATAAAAGTGCGTTAGCCCAATCATTCGCCCTATAGTCACAGACAGATATATATAGGGACCTTCATATAGGTTCCACAAGAATGTCGCGTTATGCGAGATTCGCATTAAATATTAAAAGTGGGTTTACGTTCTAAAACGATTTTTTACATATAGATTTTATCTATAGTGTAAGAAAACAATTTTATTTTTTTCAGAAAATTTCGTTTAACAAAACATAAATTTACAAACTTATTAAACTTTGTAAAATACGAGTTTGATCACTCAGGATTAATATGAACTTAATGACTAACTAACTTCTCCATACTTATTACCTAATTAAATACTATTTTCAAGAATGCAAATGAAAAAAAAAATTTTGCCAAAGAGAATTTCCGGTGTATAAAATTGCATAATTGTTGGCACAGAAGAGTATCTTACATTTTTCTAACAAGACTATCACGAAAAATATAAAACTTTCGCCATTATAGACAATAGTTTCCACCGTACATGGTGAAATTGCACAACTTACAATGGCGAACTATATTGCAGAAAATGAAAAAAATATTTATTATAGGTTACACGTATATGCATATTTATGTATAGCCTAATATTAAATTTTATTTACACTCTGTACGGACATTTCATAACAGAATAAAAGACAAATAGAAATAGAATGCCCTCGACCTTGTCTTTACAGATTATCCTTAAATCATATTGATAAATCCTAATGTAAAAAAAAAAACCGTAATGATCTGCATCCTCATTATTTATATTTCCTTTAATATTTTAAATTAATTATCCCTTCAGGAAACGAAATCTCATCATTTCCTCGATTGCCAACCGATCCTGATACAAATTAATTAAGTATAATTAAGTTAAATACGGTTTCTTTATGGTATTTTTGTTATTTCGGCTAATCTTTATCTTATCAATCATTTGTTAAATAAACCGTCGATGATAACTCTCAAACGTCCATCAAATGTAATTAGAAAAAATTGGCTAGATGAAAAATAGTTTAGACTACAGTCTATTTCTTAACAGTCATTCACTTAAGACAAACAACGACCATCAATTTTATCTGTTTCGTTATGATTCTCCAGCTTTAAAGCGAATAAACTTTTATTGCCGAAATATAGGAGGAAGACCTACAGCGCGTGTCGAAATTTATTAACGTAGCCTAACCCCTTTTTCATAGAAAAAAAAGGCGAAAATGTAGGCCATATGAGACCTCTTAATCCTTCATTAGAGTTGTATTTTGCAATGAAAATCAAATTACCAGTGTTGAAATATAGCGTGAATAAAACACATGCTAATACTGCACGAAGAATCTTATCCGTCATTATTGCTCGGATATCGGTCAAAAACCGAAGTTGATTTTTAAAAATTCATCTACAACTACTGAAGTAAATTATTTATGTTATTTATACCGAGAAAATACTTTATATATATATATAAAATATNTTGTTTATTTATCACGAAAAACATCGTAACTGTTCTAATTTTAAATGATTCTGAACAGGCGTATATAAATCAGATTAATTGGTAGCCGGATGGCCCGAGATGGTTAAGGCAATAGTCTACTGCTCTGAGGAACCTGGGATCAAATCTAGGCGATCGATAAACTCTTAGAAATTTTCGGGGGTGGTCCATACTGGATATGTCGGGTCGAATTCCTCGCTTCCATTGCGGGAATGGCCGATTCCACGACGAGCTTAAAGAAACGCCCTCTTACTTAGTGCCACAGGAGGAAAGAGTAAAACAGAAAGGATTTTCATTTTCGAAATTCATAAAATTTACCTTATTCATTCACTTTTATAATTTATTAATAAATTAAGTAAATATTCAGTATAAAGTTACAAAGCTCTGTTATAAAAGTTTGATAGTAATTAACTATTAGTTTTACATTCACTTTTGTTTATTTCATTCGAAAGGTTGAAAATATTGTAATTAATTGAGTAATCATTTC